GAGTGCTCTGTATTTAGGACTCGCATCTATGCAAAACCAGTTACTTAAGACACTAAAATAATATAATGTTGAATATATGTGTTTCGCAGTGGTATGGATATAATGTCATTTTATTCAGTTTAATATAATCAGCACAAAGAAAAGTTGAACACAGCAGCAAAATCACTTAAACATGGCATGACCAAATGAAAATGTTTTTTTAGAATAAATGAAAATGTTTTTTATTCGAGTGAAATGCACAGGGAGTGCAATTACTTAGCGGATGTGGTCAATCAACTCTGCTCGGCAGTGGACTAATTTGTACTCTGTAGCTAAGGCTAAAAGATCTATTGAGCTTCTCTTTTATCCATGAAAATGCATAGTTTTTTTTCAATTTGCAGATATATGCGATTTGTATACTATCTTAGTAAGACTAAATCGTGCAGAATTTGTTGCAGAAATCAATCACCTTCAAATGTTTCCGAAGGAGTGATGATGCCATCTTTGTTACGGTCGAAAAAGGAGACATGTTTCTGGAGAGCCGTCATGTTGCGAATCTCAGTATGTGCCATCACATGCCCCCCTTCAAGTTACAAACACGATAGTGATGATAATGCGTAAGTGAGAAATTACAGAAAAGTTTGCAATAGTTATCATGTACTAGTAAAAAATAATATAGGAAACTGCAGCATGTAGCAAGACTTACCGCCAAACATCCATAGAAACAGAAGAGCAGCCACCGGCGGCAGGAGTAGAGAAGCTGCTGATGATGATTGTCGCCGGATCGCCATCGCTGCTGCTGCTGCCGCCGGTAACCCCTTCTTCTCTGGCCGTGTGACTGGAGAGTGTGCTCAGGGAACGCGGTGCACTGTTTAAGTAGCCAGGGAAGAGCTACATATGAAAGGTCCCTCTTTCTTGCTGAAGCAGAGATGGTACTTGGCGGAAGCGAAACCACGTAAACATCTTTGTTGGCGGATGCGGAGTATTAGTCTCTGGTGCATTTATGATTGATGCGCGGAAGAGGAGCAAACTTTTAGATGACTACCGATGTTGACGTTTTGCTGAAACAAAGAACAAACTAATTGCTGCCCCTGTTACCTTTTCATGACGTTTTGTTGTATATGGTGCAAATGCGGTAGCAAACTGGCCACCAGTTGGTTAGATTCGTGGTGGTCCTCGTTGTTACTTGGAGGAAGCTAAACCACTTTCACTAGGCATCAATCTTGAATTACCAGCAGGGAGTTTCACAAAATAATCTCAGATGAGTCTGGAGAAAAATAATCTAAGCGGGATGCCATTTATATTCAGTAAGAGGGCTGCTATGTGTCGGCAGGCGGATCTTTTAAAGATCCGCCGCCTTGCGAGCCGTCAGATTTGATAAATCGAGCGGATGCACGTCTTTCTCTACTTCGCAACAGAGATCTTGTTACAGAAATGCTTGTAACACAAATTACCTTATGGAGTTTCTTTCGCAACATAGATTGTGTTCTGGGATTTATTTATTTTTTGCAACATAGCCCGTGTTGCGGAATTATTTTTTTGTCTTCATTTTTCTGCAATAGAGGCATTGTTGCAGAAAAACTTTGCAACTAAGGTGATGTTGCAGATTATTTTTTCTTTGTCTTCACTTTTATATGGTGGTACGAAAGAAAGTTTTGCAACATGACTAATGTTGCATAAATCTTCCTTGCAACAAATTGAATGTTGCAGAAAAAACACCATTGTCGTTCGCCACGAGCTTCAACCGGACGCTGGTGAGGGGAGCAGCGTTGCCCATCCCTGCCATCGTGTCGCCGGCGACGTGCGCCCGCCGAACGGTGGTGAGAGAGGAGAGGCGTCGCTCGACCTCCCCATCGCGCCTCCCTCGACCTCCGACCGCTTGCCTCGTCACCATCCTCCTCACCGGCTAGATGTACGCCATTGATAGGCACTTGTATACGGGAGAGAGAGGTTTAAAAAGAAATAAGATGACGGAGAGAGACGAAGGGATAAGACGTGGATGGCCACATGTCAAGCAAAGGGACCGGCAGATGGTCTGCAACATAGCATTTGTTGCGGTTTACTTTATGAAGCAGGTGACCAGTTGCAGGAAAGGGAGTAGCTACAGAAATGAATTAGTGACCAGCGTTCCACGGAGATAAGGATGAAGAAAAGATGCAGTGTGCGGGCCTAATCAAGACACGCGGCAAGGGTAGGATGCAGTGGACGTAAAGAAAAGATCGGTCAGTTGAACATCAGCTTTTTCCATTTGGTAATCTTTGACATTTAAAATTGAAAAGAAAGGAACAGCTGAAAACAATTTTTTTAAACCTGCACGGATGTCAATGCTGTAATTTTGTCTATTTTGGGTCAGCCCACTAACAGTTTCAGATATTCCTAATTAATCTTAGAGGCCCACGCAGCCCATTCGTACAAGACAAGAGGTGGAACTAAAATTTAGTGCCACATTGCTAGTTTGGTGGGAGTTGGACTTCCTTATAAGGGAGGTTGTTTCTCCACAAGTATGAGCATGAGAATAAGAGGGACATTCACACGCGCTCCTCCTTCGCCGCCCATCTTGCCGCGCCGCGGGTTGCGGGAATGAGCTGATGTCTAATTTTTGCCACGCACGACTGGTATACGAAAGGTCACACGGAAGTTGAAATGATTTTCGCTATAGTGGACACTGAATGTGAACGGCGCATCCCTTCGGCTGCCGGCTGTTTCACTTCGTCTCCGTGTCTTTGTTTCACCTTTCGTCGCTGCCCTCTCGCCTCTTTCTCCTATGCCTATAAAAGGAAGGTCGCTGATAACCCACAAGTGTAGGGGATCGCAACAGCTTTGGAGGGTAAAGTATTCAACTCAAATTTATTGATTCGACACAAGGGGAGCCAAAGAATATTCTTGAGTATTAGCAGTTGAGTTGTCAATTCAACCACACCTGGATAACTTAGTATCTGTAGCAAAGTATTTAGTAGCAAAGTAGTATGATAATAAAAGTAACGGTGGCAAAAGTAAAGATAATTGTTTTTGGGTTTTTGTAGTGATTGTAACAGTAGCAACGGAAAAGTAAATAAGCGAAGAACAATATGTGAAAAGCTCGTAGGCAATGGATCAGTAATGGATAATTATGTCGGATGCGATTCCTCATGTAATAGTTATAACATAGGGTGACACAGAACTAGCTCCAGTTCATCAATGTAATGTAGGCATGTATTCCGTAAATAGTCATACGTGCTTATGGAAAAGAACTTGCATGACATCTTTTGTCCTACCCTCCCGTGGCAGCGGGGTCCTAGTGGAAACTAAGGGATATTAAGGCCTCCTTTTAATAGAGAACCGGAACAAAGCATTAGTACATAGTGAATACATGAACTCCTCAAACTACGGTCATCACCGAGAAGTATCCCAATTATTGTCACTTCGGGGTTGTAGGATCATAACACATAATAGGTGAGTATAGACTTGCAACATAGGATCAAGAACACACATATATTCATGAAAACATAATAGGTTCAGATCTGAAATCATGACAGTCGGGCCCTAGTAACAAGCATTAAGCATAGCAAAGTCATAGCAACATCAATCTTAGAACATAGTGGATACTAGGGATCAAACCCTAACAAAACTAACTTGATTACATTGTAAATCTCATCCAACCCATCACCGTCCAGCAAGCCTACGATGGAATTCTCACGCACAGCGGTGAGCATCATGAAATTGGTGATGGAGGATGGTTGATGATGACGACGACGACGAATCCCCCTCTCCGGAGCCCCGAACGGACTCCAGATCAGCCCTCCCGAGAGAGATTAGGGCTTGACGGCGGCTCCGTGTCGTAAAACGCGATGAAACTTTCTCTCTGATTTTTTTCTCCCCGAACGTGAATATATGGAGTTAGAGTTGAGGTCGATGGAAGTCCAAGGGGCCCACGAGATAGGGGGGCGCGCCCCGCTGTCTCGTGGACAGGGTGTGGGCCCCCTGGTGTATTTCTTTCGCCCAGAAATTCTTATTAATTCGAAAAAGTGCCTCCGTGGATTTTCAGCACATTCCAAGAAATTTTCTTTTCTACACATAAAACAACATCATGGCAGTTCTGCTGAAAACAACATCAGTCCGGATTAGTTTCATTCAAATCATGCAAGTTAGAGTCCAAAACAAGGGCAAAAGTGTTTGGAAAAGTAGATACGTTGGAGACGTATCAACTTCCCCAAGTTTAAACCTTTGCTTGTCCTCAAGCAATTCAGTTGATAAGCTGAAAGTGATAAAGAAAAACTTTTACAAACTCTGTTTGCTCTTGTTGTTGTAACATGAAAAGTCAGCATCAAGTTTCAGCAAATATTATGAACTAACCATACTCACAATAACACTTAGGTCTCACAATTACTCATATCAATAGCATAATCAGCTAGCGAGCCATAATAATAAAACTTGGATGACAACACTTTCTCAAAACAATCATAACATGATATAACAAAATGATATCTCGCTAGCCCTTTCTGAGACCGCAAAACATAAATGCAGAGCACCTTTAAAGATCAAGGACTAACTAAACATTGTAATTCATGGTAAAAGAGATCCAGTCTAGTCATACCCAATATAAACCAATAGTAATGAATGCAAATGACAGTGTGCTCTCCAGCGGGTGCTTTTTAATAAGAAGGGTGATGACTCAACATAAAAGTAAATAGATAGGCCCTTCACAGAGGGAAGCAGGGATTTGTAGAAGTGCCAGAGCTCGATTTTAAAATAGAGATTGAATAACATTTTGAGCGGCATACTTTCACTCTCAACGCAACAACTATGAGATGGCTGTATCTTCCATACTACATGCATTATAGTCAGTTCCCAAACAGAATGGTAAAGGTTTATACTCCCCCAACCACCAACAAGCATCAATCCATGGCTTGCTCGAAACAACGAGTGCATCCAACTAACAACAGCCCTGCGGGAGTTTTGTTTAATTATTTTGATTTTCTTTGATCTTTTTGGATCATGGGACTGGGCATCCCGGTTACCGGCCCTTTCTCGTGAATGAGGAGCGCAGTCCACTCCTCTTGAGAATAACCCACCTAGCATGGAAGATATAGGCAGCCCTAGTTGTAACATGAGCTGCTCGAGCATATAAAACAGAATTTCATTTGAAGGTTTGGAGTTTGGCACATACAAATTTACTTGGAACGGCAGGTAAATACCTCTTATAGGAAGGTATAGTGGACTCATATGGAACAACTTTGGGGTTTAAGGAGTTTGGATGCACAAGCAGTATTCCCGCTTAGTACAGGTGAAGGCTAGCAAAAAACTGGGAAGCGACCAACTTAGAGAGCGACAACAGTCATAAACATGCATCAAAATTAATTCACACCGAATACAAGCATGAGTAGGATATAATCCACCATGAACATAAATGTCATGAAGGCTATGTTGATTTGATTCAACTACATGCGTGAACATGTGCCAAGTCGAGTCACTCAATTCATTCAAAGGAGGATACCATCCCATCATATCACATCATAATCATTCTAATAGCATGTTGGCACGCAAGGTAAACCATTATAACTCATAGCTAATCAAGCATGGCACAAGCAACTATAATCTCTAAATGTCATTGCAAATATGTTTACTTCATAATAAGCCGACTCAGAAATGATGAACTCATCATATTTACAAAAACAAGAGAGGTCGAGTTCATACCAGATTTTCTCATCTCAACAAGTCCATCATATATCGTCATTATTGCCTTTCACTTGCACGACCGAACGATGTGTATAATAATAAGAGTGCACGTGCATTGGACTAAGCTGGAATCTGC